AGGGTGGAGGGAGTACAAGACAACCTTTGCGCGGGATCTTCGTATAAATTAATTAGTGCTCCAGTTTAACGAGAAAGAGCGACGAGCGCACGGCCGACGCTTGAAGACGACGGCGTTTTCATTCGTCCGCATGTCGCGCGATATTGATTAATTTTAATTAGTCAAGTTGATACTCTGAGAATCTTCTTTTTTGTCATTGAAAGTGAATACTTTTTATACGTATTGAAAATGTTCATTTAACATTAAGCTTCTGTCAGTCGTATAGATATTGACGTGGCTATTCACTGCAACAATTATGGTGGAATAAATTTGCTCGGCTGTTATCTGGCCGTAAATTTTTAATATCAAAATTAACTAATCATAATAAATCATAATTCTATGGTATAAATATCATTTGAATATTATATTTGTTTATTTAGAAAGTGTAATGGTATGGATGTTAAATGTTAACATCATGTATCTGCGTAATACTTAATAACTACTAAGGCTTAAAAGTAAAGATGGAAATTATTTAAATTCCCGGGTGGTCAAACATTCTATGGCATTATAACAAATGATTAAATTATTAAATATCTTGTAGTTATTCAACATTTTACTAACATTAAATAAATTACTATACACTTTCTTTATAATGATTAATAACAATCCAATATATTAATTTTAGCCATTTGAATGGATATTTTGAACTGTTTACTTTTCCGTGAAAATTTAATAATTTTCTATATAAATTTTTATCTCCATAATAGTCAATAGAACAAATATTATATTCTGCAATTGTGTTATAAAAAATTTTAGTAGATGGTATGGAAATAGCGTGTAATAACGTTCATATGTCATTGAAATTTACTCCGCCCATACTAAAAGCGTGAATGTTTGAAATAATGATTTCTAATTATTACAAGGTATTATTCATTTTGTAAACAATTTACTTCCCATAAGGAATATATGAACATTAGATTTCAATACATTAAGTTTAATTATATGATTGTATTTCAACATTAAAAGATATTATTGTTTTTAAGATTTAAAAGAGGAAAGCTTCATTGAAAAATTCACTACAATTTGCAAGGAAAATAGATGTAGTTTGGGTAAATGGCATGTTGTAAACAAACGAAGGAACTGCCTTTAAAGAAAGTCACCTCGGTGAGATAGAGATAGGTAGAATAGCCTCGGCGATAGAGTGAGAGAGAGAGAGAGAGAGAGAGAGAGAGAGAGAGGGAGAGGGGGGGGCAGGTAGGTAGAGAGAAGCTGAAAAAAGTTTAACCGACTATTAGGGGTCGTAATACAGCGTAATGCCGGCACTTAGCGAAGTATAAATAAGCGTTAAATCCGTGCTTAGAAGCTTTAATCTGTACTTTTTCTCTCTCATTGTGCCGCCACCTCCTCGCCAAGAATACATTATCACCCGGGGGACTTTATCGTTCAGCCGATAACGACCTCGCAGTTGCACGAAAAAATAAGGGGATAAAAAGAAGAACGGGATACACTCTGCATTCGCCGGTAATATATCAAAGGAACCGCCTCTTTTACTCTTCAGCTTCGCTGTCAAAGCCCAGACTTTCTAATCTTCCTAACCTTTTTTCAACTTGGCAATGTTTATTTTCCTCTTCGATCGTTGTGTCAATTGTAAAGTATCGAAAGATACTTCATATAAGCCAAAGCCAAATCATTATTATGTATTCTCTCTTAAATTCCTTTGCGCTTATCTATACCCCAAGAAATTTATAATTTTAATGCCTCGGATAAGTTCAAGATATCGTATTTAAGAAGAATTTGAATGTAAATGTATAATAATAATCTTTTATACTTATATTCGCGCGTGGATGTAAATGTAATATGCTACAAATTAAAATGGAAAAGTTAGATATTGCAAGTAATTGCATAAAAAAATATGTAGAATATTTTTTAATGTACTTCTGCAAATATTAATTTAATACATTACTTTCAGTAGTCATTTACATCAAATTTATTTCACATCCATTTTAATTTATTATCGTTCGCAAAATTTGATCTTTTTACGAACCGAAGACGAATTAATATACTTTAAAGAATTAATCCTATGAATAAAAAGTAAATATATTAAAATTAACGATAAGTCTATTCAAATAGATTAGATAAAAATGAACGAAGTATTAATGTACGTAGAGATAATTATAGTCAGATGATGGAGCTAAAATTAAATCAAATTTTGTATTAAAAATTATGTTTTATTTGCAAGAGACATACATTTTTCAATAAGTTATTAATAGAAGAGATAAGAGAAATAAAAAAAAAAACAAAAAAAAAAAATAAGAGAAAAAGTTCGTAAAAGGAAACTTTCCTCCAATAATGCTAGTGATAATATTTCAAACGATCAATATCTCCGTATAAATAATATTCGGTATAAAAAGCGGTAGACGATTACTTAAATCAAATTGAAAATTTGAAAATATAAAATTTATTTTTCACACAATCAATGGTAATATATATATATATATATATATATATATATACATTTCATTAAATTACACTGTCAGATATTAATATTATGTGTTATTGTAAGTTCCTAATGATTATTATATTAAGAAATAATATTAGAGTTATTAAACTATTGGTATTTTAAATAATATATAATTTAAATAAATTACTATGTTATTACTAATTACACAAATTGCTCAGAAATTCCTTATTAACTAATTGAATACAACATTACAAAGAATGAAAAATGATAAATAACATACACGTTGTAAATCAAAACAAGTATTATAAAATTGTTTTAATTGGTCAAAGCTATTATAATTACATACTAATGATACCTAGTCATAAAATAATATATACATATATACATGTGTGTGTGTGTGTGTGTGTGTGTGTGTGTGTGTATGCCGATCAAATTCATAAATTATATTACTGACTTCATAATACGAATTAATAAGAAAATAGAATAATCCCGAATTCAGTTATAATAAACAATTAGAAATAGATAGAACCACATAATTATATTGTAAATAAAAATATTTGTCAAAATTTGGCTTTTTTAAAAGTTGCGGAATTAAAGTTTTATGTTTCGTTAGTAACCTTATCGTTAATGGAATAGAAAACTAATCAACAATATTATATAAAATATTAATAAATTTCTGTTTTATTTTCATTGCGACAAAGAAAATTTAAATTAAAATTGATATACAGTTATCAATGACACTGACAAACATTTGTAAATTTGATGTTTTCATTTATTTTAGAGCTCCAATAATATCTGGTAGTAAACTAAAATAATCATTTTAAAAAATTTTCTGTATAAAATTTATAAAAATTAAAATTTCAATATTAAAAATTAAAACAAATAAAATAATACTCAACTATATCTCAGTAGGAAATCCGTATTACTAATAGTAATATTTATTCATTAAGCTTATTGAAGATGTAAGAACACATTCAGCATTATTTATTTATTTATTGTAAATTTAAGGAACATATTATAATAGCTCTAAAAATATTAATATTGAAATACACCTTTTATATATTATATTAATTTAATTTATATTATTTTATATTATATATAATAGATATCATATAAAGTATTAACAACGCATACATTACATTTTTTAATACCAGTTTATTCAAACCTGTAAATGTAATATTAAATTGTTTTATTTAAAAGTAAAATTTATGTACTTTACTGTTTGAATTTAAAAGTTCCGTAACGTTATGTACTTTCAATTAATTTTATATGTACAGTCACAAGATTATACGCATTACATATGACAATGAAACAAAAATAATTAGTAGACAATTAATAGTGTTATTGCATTTTGAAAGAAATTGTAAAAGAAATCGTTGATTATTCAATTTATAAAATCGTTTAAAAGAAGATAAATAAAGTTCATTAAATGCAAAATTTGCAAATCTAAGGTAAATATGTAATCAAATCTATAATTATTTTTCAATAAAAGTTTTGATTATTTCGAACGAAAAAAAAATACTGATCAACATAATTTATAATTTAATAAAAAATTACAACTTGCAAATTTCCAATAAAACCAAAAGAAAAAAAATCTACGAAAAAAAACTCATTTATATTTACAGACATAACTATACAAGTAGACATTGTATTATTGATTTTTAGAAAATACATAATAAATATTTATAAAATATATTAAATATACTTTATATTTTCAAAATAATACATGATTTTATTATATTCAATAGAATGTGAATAACTAATCAAGAATAAATCGGGAATTCAATGTTGATATGAATTAATAATTTATTAATTACATGAAATAATTGAAATAAATGGCATCATATCATAATTAATGAATAAATAATATAATTAAAGTTAAAATTAATTAAACTAATGTTCAATAAGCTTCCTGAATAAGCAGGGTAAATGTAACCTCTTATCTAAAGTTATCTTATTATACTTTTGTAAAGAAATGAATTTACAATTATAATATAAACAATATGAAAGATTGTCAATGCGAATATAATAATTGAGATAATAAATAATTGAATAGATTATATTAAATTACTGTGAAAATTAAAATTTATAGATATTAAAATTTGCTATAATTTTTGTTTTCTTAATTAGTATTTTCAATATATATAAAAATATTGTTTATATTTTTAAATGTAAGATAATTTTTTCAACTCTTTAAAATTGTTTTTCCTTTAATTGTAAAATAGGTGGATATAAATTTTTTTCCCTGAATTTTTTTTTTTTAGCAAAAATTCAAGAAACTCCTGTTTTCATTCAAGTAGATATCATAAACGAGAAATATCCAAAGTTCATGGATGTTATAAGTAAATTGACAAAGGTCAAAGAAGCAACTGCTATAACCGTGTAATGTAAATTCGACGAGGAACATTTTCGTAGAATTACGATAAATAAATGGGTCGAGTGATAAAGACGAGTTGAAATGAAAAATAAGGCGAATCTGTATTAATCATTGCGAGGTAAAGTTAATGGCGTAGGGGGGATACAAAGCATAAATGAACAATTTTTGATCGCTTGACTAATTCGTTTCGGTCAGTGAGTGAGATCAGTTCGACTTTATAACATCTATCCGTCCTACTGTTATTAATAATATAAACGTATCTTTTTCTAAAACTTGTTGGTCACTTTTACACGAAGGTAGTGAATATCTTCAAATTATATTGTTATTCTAATGAATCGATTGAACAATAAATCAACTATTTTTTAAAACTTCAAATAATAAAAGTTATTTTTAACACGTTATATTTTAATTTATTTAACTTTTGAATAATAATGTCAACTATATAATTAGAATTTCTATTAAATGAATAGTTATTAATAATTTTCTATTAATATAACACAATTAAAGTCTGTTTTAATTTAATTATTTTTATCACTATAAACTAATATAATAGCTTCAGCTTATCAGAAAGATACTTTATTTAATGACCATAATATTATAAAACATTATTAATCTTGTGTTTACACTTTAGTTTTCGATTTTTTTTTTTTTTTTTTTTTTTTTTTTTTTTTTTTGCATATTTGATTATAGTGTCGTTATGAAAAACACTTGTGTCATGGGACATTTCGTATTAAAGTAAAAGTTATTTCATAAAAATTGAATTCAATGTTTTAAAGATCGTATAATAATTAAAAATTGAAAGCAATAAATCAATGAATCTTTTCATTAAAAATATAAATTTGTTATTATACATTAATTTTGTTAATTATAAATGCTTGTTTTTTTTTTTTTTTTTTTTTTTTTTTTTTTTAAATTTTTTTCTATTTTCTATTTATCATAATTATAAGAAACATCGTGTTAATGCACAAATGTGTTATATTATATATTTATATATAAACTACATGTACAGAGAAAAATTCAATAATTCGAATTATGTAATTGACTAATTATATTTTATACTTATCGGGATTGTTAATTTTTAACGATCTTGCTATAAATGACTATAAATAAAAAAGAAAATACCATTTAAATCAAAGGAAAAAATTTTAATTGGAAAAAAGTGTTTATAAAGAAATGAGATAAGAGTAAAAAATTATTTATACATATAAAATATAAAAGAGCTCAAGATAGGACGATTATGTTTTTATGCGAAATTTCAGTTTTATATTAGATATTAAATTACAATTATATTTAAATTAGAAAATTCACTTTCACGTTTCATTTACACTTTCATTGATAATAAATAATAAATATAATATACTTTTTCGAATTTGTATAATTTGTTCACATATTTTAAAATTGAATTTATCTGGTGTAATTTTAGAGTGTTGTGATTATGTGCATGAAAAATGAAAAGTTAATAAAGTGCAATAATAAATGAAAATATTACCAGACAGTATGATTAATTGAATTTTATTACACAAATAATTTTCAAATCTTTTTGATATTAGCTACTTTAAATTCGAATTTTGTGCAAATAAACATACTATCCACTAAATATATGTTCCTTACTGTTATGTCCAAATATATTTGTAAATATTAATATCTGTGATTTAAAATTAGATAGATAGGTGTGTTAGTGTTCCATTTTCTAATTTGGAATAAACGTTAAATAGAAATCAGTCACAACATTCAACTTGTTGCAGTAGTTGCAGTTTTATAGAAATTATTATATTGTTAACCTGATTTACTTCGTTTCACTGCATTAAATTAATTAGAAATGATCACGAATAATGACATTAAAATTCTATTATTCTTATAATTATTACAAAAATCTGTTTGAAAATTCATTTTCACAGTATATATAACGTAATAACATCTCAAAGAAATTTTTATCGATAGATTGAAATTACTTGTTCCTACATAGAATATGAATTTTAAGTAGAATAATATATTAATTAAAGCACTACATTTGTTAGTGTTTGTAAGATGTATGTGAATTAATCTATAGATAGATAAGCGCATAATATTTACTTAATATAGACTTATTAAATGAAATTTAAAATAAAGTATAAAACCAGATGGCGAGTACAAGCTTTGCCTCTAATATGAAAACTTTAAGCTGATAAATAATAAATCAATTGACATTTTAATATAAATATTAGTTTAATGCCGATCTTTTAAAGAATATCGCACATGATTACGTATTAGGTAAAGATTTTATAAATAAGAAATATCCTCTTTGAGCTACTGATTAAAGCAAATGTTTCGAAAATTGACTTCATTGTGCCACTAACTATCGAAAATCCTAAAAGCTCTCTATACATTATATTAATGCCGGTATTAATTATTGTTTGTAAATATTCCTTTAAATTATCTTTATTAACAATGTAATGTAGTCACGTGTAAATCCCTAGGCACGGGCAGGCAAATTTGCTTATATTTCTATTTGCTTATTACTTAAATGTGCGATAGGACTACGAGAAAATATTATTTAAGCAGCCTCTTTTGGCCACAAAGATATTAATTCTAGGAATATTGTGGATTTGACCTCCGCCCGATAAAACTTGACTTCGGCGCGTATTTTCATATAAAAGCCCCACACACAATATCCAAACAGCGCAGTAGCCAATATCGCAATAACAAATTGTCTCGTCGACACACAGCGGGGAAGGCATGCAACCGCTGCTGCTGCTGCTGACGTCTCTAACGCTACTTGCGTACCCCTGCCTCGCAAGTCCCCACGGTTGCTTCTTCTTCTGTGGCAACGAGGGCGCGAGACCCGGACCGTACACGCGGCCCTCGAGTCACGACGGACTCGCCTCCTCTCGGAACGCGAGGATGGAGGACCTGCAGAACCGCGGCTACGACCACGGTTACGGCTACGGTGCTATGGACAACTACGGTCAGACCGCTCGTCGAGCCCAGCATCAGCAGCTCCAGCCCGTACAGTCCGAGGTCGAGCACCGACCCCAGGATCTCCACGGTGTGCTCTACTTCTCCCAGACGAGCAGTAGCAGCAATAGCAACAGCAACACCGCGAGCCACGGCTACTTGCGATTTCCAATGTACGGGAGAGCCTCGCGCAACGAGTACAACGAGTACGTCGATCACTTCGTGGCATAATTCTATACACACGTAATTAACGTAGTGGTAGGAGCTTCAATTTCATCAAATATTAATTAATAACGGCTACCCCGGAGCACCCATCCATCGACCTGAAACGCAGTGCCCCCAAGACTCGCATGAACACTTATCGCATCAAGTACGACTGTTACTTTATCCATCTTTTCAAGCGTGTTCATTAGACTTTGAAAAAAACAAGTTTCTTTATATCTGTTATTATGTAATAAATAATCAGTATATAAATAAAGATATCGTTTTATCGAACGCGTGTATTTTTTATTTACATTTTATTTAGAGGAAATATGGGATCTTGCAATAAGATTTTTGGCCTTACACCACGAAATACAATTTGTAAAAGTAAAGTCCGTAGGATGAGAGCGTATTGAGTCGACGTAACAACGATCTTGACAATAAAAGTCGATTAATAATATTATTAATATTAAATTTGTGTATTATTTAAAATTTTCACTTTCGCTCTTGAATATATCGGCAACTACGTCTTCGTGAAAACTTAGTCAACTTTAAGGAAATTACTTTTAAAATTAAAAAATTTCGTTAAATGTACTATTACTACTGCTACTACTACTACTACTACTACTACTACTACTACTCTTTCCATCAATATTACATTTTTATTAATATACAAATCGAAATAATTGCAATTTTATTGCATAATATTTTGTACGTAGTTGTTAACATTGTTAAATGTTACATTAAAGTCAGTGCTGAGATTCCTCTTGAAAACCGTTGAAAGTAGAATGAAATTGATTATATAAATAAAATTTTATTGGTTGAAAGATTAAGAATATTGTATAATATAAGCAATTAATTTATTCGAGTGCTCGAATGGATATTAGCCAACAACATCACTATATTCTCTGTACTGGAAATTGAGAAAAAATTTTTTAATTTACGCGCGCAGACGGAGTACACGATAAATTGTAAAGATCGAGTAAAATCGAAAGATTTTAAAAGTTGAAAATTCATAGGAAATAAAATTCAGACATAGACTTTGTATTCTTAAAATTTCATTATATAACTATGTCAATGAATTAAAATTTTGTATTATAAAAATGCGTGTATTCGTGAACAAGCGCGCGCGCGCGCGTGTAGACGTATAAGACAAAACGAGTTCCAGGAAGACGTCAGCGAGTGTGAGGAAGACAAGGTCGATGATTGCGATGGCAAGAGGGAATAATGTAAGGACAGCAAGAGCAGGTGCCCTAATCTCGTCTAATCTGTGGCCCATAGAAATTAATGTTACGACTGTTCGCGGCCGGTCAATGGCTCCCAGTGTGAGTATCAGACCTCCTGGGGTCGGTCGTTTTCCTCTCCTCGTCGCCCCCTTCCCAATGACACTTATTCACTCACTCTCCCAAATCTTTCTTACGGGTCTTTCTAATTTCCACAAGACCATAATCAAATACATGAAAATTAAGTTTTAGAGCTAATAAAGATACTTACAAGCTTATCTCTATCTTACGGAATTCCGCTCTTTTCGACCAATATTTTCTTTTTTCTTTCTATTTTTAACTCGCCCATGGCTTCCCAACTACCATCGCATGTTTCGTACTCTATACGCTATTCTAAATTACGGAATTTCAGATAATAATTTTTCTTCGTAGACGGAATAAGCTTAACACCACTTATATATGCATATTTAAATGCTTTTATTATTGCAGTGCTCTAAGTACATAATAAATGTACCAACATATCAAGCAAAATAGAAATAAGTAAAAATAGAGTGTCACATTGAAATTTCAATTAATAAAATATATTCGTCTAGGGTCTCGTAAAAATAATAATGTCGAGGTAGGGAATGGTAGTAGGAAGGAGGCTTCGGGGTAGCTCATGAAAAATAACAAGAATAACTAGCGAATTAATTCATTCCCGCCGAGATCTGTCCAATAATGCATTGCGGCCCCTTTGCTTTCGCATTCCTTGGGACGAGCTGTTGAACTCGAATTACTGATTATTCTATGCGAATTATTCAGCAATGACTTGGAGTCCTCGCTCGCTCAGCATCTCTCATACGTACGGAATCTTCCTACAGATTGTGCGCGCGACACACTCCTCGCTTGCATTAATAGAAGAGAAAGAGAGAGAGAGAGAGAGAGAGAGAGAGAGAGAGAGAGAGACAGGTGGACTGGAGGGTGCAGTTACAACACCACCAACGGATACCATAACGATTGTGAGTTGCACGTCCAAGATATTAGGTTCCTGTCTCCTACAAGTACGACTACCTCACCCACTCCCTCCCCCGTGGTCTGCCACTCTCTCATTCTACAGCGCAATTGGGTGAGCACGGTATCGAGGGAAGTTGATGCGCGTGCGATTAATATTGTATGTCGTGCTGGTGAGTATTTAAAGATTGCCGTAGAAGAGAAGAAGTAATGATGTTTTTATTATATCTTATGCCAGTCACTTATGCAGGCCATAATTATTTCTTTCCTTGATGATGTTTTCTTTATAATATCACGTTTCGTTCAAATTTCAAAACCAACGACAAATGTTGACGTTTCAATATTTAAATGAAAATTAATCGATGTACAGACGAATGATATACTTTATTAACATGTACTTTTAATCGCTATACGACAGTACTGTGATTTGATCAAACGTGATATAAATTTCGATAGATAACAATATTTATCCAATATTGTGAGCAATAATTGTATTGGTAAAGCTATTTTAAGTTGAAAAATAACAATACACAGCTTTCAATGCTCTTCAAAGACTGACATTAAAAGTTAATACAGACATTTGTAATTGCAACTTCTATTTGGTGCTTAATTTGTTTGTACATATTTCGTTGTTGACATGATTCATTGGCATTTTTTATCTCCCACCTTGTTCTGTTAATTAATTTGAATATTACAGAAACTTAATATTGTCGTCATCTAATTTTCGATAGCATAAATAAAATAAAGAAAGCAGTCGGTAAAATAAATCTTAATCTATTTAATTTACGAGAAAATGCTTTTCTTTGCAATCGCTATTATTTGCAACACTATATTTCATAAGGTATTTTCACATGAATCTTACAAACTCATAAAAACAATATAAGTCATTTTATTAAATTTGCACCGATTGCGCTTCATGGCGTGTTGAATTTGTTCCGCGTTCCCCTCAGTGGTCTGAATATCTCTTAGGTCCGCATCTCAGCTGAATTTATGCACGAGGACAGATTGAAGACACGGTGCTATACTAAATGAAAAAAAAAAACGCAAAAAAAAAGGGAAAAGTGAGAAATAAGATGAAATGAGAGAAATGAGAATGGAAAGGTAGTCGAGGCGATTAAGGGCGCGGGCTTTTAATATTCGTAAGAAGAAACAAATTTTAGCGAATACAATTGTCCAGTGACATTTCTGCTAAGTCACAGTTTCGAAAACAAATATGACTTGTTTGATATATGGTTGACTGTAGCGCCCCTATTATTCAAATGATGACATATTCGATCTATCATTTCCAATATACAAATGACCATCAAACAATAAAAATAGTAACCTAGGGATAAATCATATTAAAATTAGTAATTTGGGGGCCATTCAATAAAGATAAATACGCGTTAAAGTGCAGCAAAAGTGGAAAGGAGTAGGGTATCGGAGCTAGGGACCGCAGGGCATGTTCCTGGGGCTCGTTCCCAATACAACCAGTGGGGACCTAGATTCGGTTGCAATTAGAGTAGGACAAAACTTTAGCGTTAGGCTAAATATCACGAGGCTGAGAGCGTCGCGGTACGAGATGCAGTTGACGAAGAAAAAAGCTGCTTCTTGCGAGTTTTTTTAATTGAGATGGTCGAGGATTCATAATAGCATGATTGGATAGAATTGAAAAATTTGTCAGTACTTGCAATTATCATATCATTATTGTCATCTGTAGACTAAAATCATTGAAGAAAAAATATTACTTCAATGTTTTGACAATAAATGATTAGATCACGAAATTTACCGCGGGTAGCAATTCAATATAACGATATTTCTTATATATAATAAATGTATTTTAAATAAAGTCGATAAGTCGTGTTATTGCAATAGTTAAAATTTTCGGATATTTAAAAATATGAAATTTTAAAATTGACTTCAAAGTATTTGCTCCCATAATATATTACGCATTGATCATTTATAATAACAAGATATCATCTTTATGTATCTAGTGAATGAATTAACCGTTAATATCTTCTTATGAAGATAAATTTTCATTCATTTTCATTGTTCAAATGCACAAAGAGTAGAGAATAATCTTTTGAATGGATCTCTCGACATACCAATACGCAATTCATATAATTGATCCAGCGCTTTAATAATATAGTTATCGATCAATTTTTAATCAATGAGCACTCGTTTATTCTGATAAAACAATCGCAATATTACGGCTTTGTTTTTAAAATACTAAAGAACAGTTTTAAATATTCACATTCAAGGCATTTGCGTATTATCAGATTTTTTTCGTTTTTTTTTTCCTCAGAATTCTAAATCATTTTCATACTAGAATCGATTTATAGCTGGTCTGCTTAACAAATGTAATTTAGCAAACATATATTTTCCAGTGCCATTTCCTTTCTCATACATAAAGAATAGTCTATTAGATTAGATAATATATTAGATTAAATATTATAATTATCAAACGATATAATGAAGTGAAGCACAATTTTTCATAATTCATTACCGGATAGCGCGTGTTTATAATAAACTTTTGCAGCACTTTCGTTCCCAGTTTTTGTTTTTCTTTTTCTAAAATTTTATAACCTTGTGTTTTAATTGCCATAAAATGTGCTTAAAATTGATTGATATTTGTATGTGGAATCACAAAATATTTTAATTCAGGCTCGATGTATCAACTAATTTTATACATTAATTTTGAAATTCTATTTATGTGAAACAAAAATTTGAAACTTCAAATTTTGTCGAATAGGTTCATTCAACATCTTATTTTTTTTTCTTTTTACAAACCCTATATAGAAACGTTTTTTCAATTTTATAAATTATTATATAATTGTGATATTATTTCATTAAAATAATATTTTATTTAATGGTTGTTTTCAATGTACCTACTCTTGTGATTAGTTTTTACGTAACGAAATTTTAAAGAATTTTAGATTTATTTAATAGACCTTCAATTTTTACATTCAATATTACATGAAAGAGACACAGATATTTTTAAATATATGTATGTAAGAGTGGGAGG